ATATATATATATATATATATATATATATATATATATATATATATATATATATATATATATATATATATATATATATATATATGTACGTGTAAATTGAAATTTTGAATTTTGAAGATAGATTTTCAAGCAATAATCAAAATTTTATTGATGATGATGCAACTAACCTCGATGTCAGCCGTTTCTTGTCCACGGAAAGTGAAACTTTTAAAGTCTGGTGACAGAGTCAGGGCATAGTGCGTTGGTTTAGCTAATTCTGGCAAACGCTCAAACTTCACTGGTATAACACAAGACATCTCTTTTCTTGATATTATTTTAATTGATGCTGCAAAGTATTATGTGTGATTTTACTTAGCAAACAATGACGTTTATTCTACCAGCTAATTCGTAGACTCACTGGATAGTACATATGTGGTATTATCAATTTTTCACAAAACCTTACAGTAAAAATCATTTCAGTTAAACAGACTGTTTGAGTAATGCAATTTCGTCTCTTTCAGCTGTAATCGAATATTTCAAAGTTGTTATGGGCACATAAAAAAAGTTTTTCAATAAAGTGAACTCTCACTACAAACAGTCATGAAATTTGAAGTGATAACTGACACATGAAAACTTGTAATTCATCATTAAACAACAGTCTAAACTGCAATTAAACTACTCCGAAATCTTTAAAGTCCTGAATATTTGAAAGTTCGGGGCATTTTCCATATTTACATAAAGCAAAATCAATTTATATATCATTAGTACAGTAGAAGAATTATTAAGAACAATGTCAACTTCCACTCTCATCCACACTGTCACCGCGAAAATTTTTTGTTGATGCAAACCGCCACACATAGTCAAATGTCAATCTGTTGTTGGTAACCGTCAAACAATTGATGCGCTATTTCCAAAACGCAACCAGTCAATTTTTTGACATAAAGATAGTAGTATTATCAGACGTCTTAGAATCATGAATGAAGTAGCGTGAGAGAAGTAGACCTACTATATACTCACATGAGATTAAGAGACGACGAGAATGATTCGCGCAGAACTGGAGCAATTTTATGTGCATGCGACGGACGGCAGCAACAGCCTGCGCCTTCCTAAATTAATTTAAATTTAAAATAGAAGTTGAAATCTTTCTGCCGTAGATCTTTGACCTGTAAACAGCCGACAATTCCACTAACAAAATTACAAACCCAAAAATACATATCAAACGGTAAACGTTATTACCGAACGACCGTTAAAAACGTGCGGCCGTAATTTGAATTGAAATTGTAAGTCTTAGCGGAATTGTAGGTAACGGTGGTCCTGTTATGACGTACTAATTTAAATGGGGAATGTTTTCGGCTGTTCTGGGAGTTCCCAGTGGCTTTTATTTTCCTGTATATTTTTGTCATGCTTATTGCTTTCTCACATTTATATAGGTGTATTAGTTAATGCCATGTGCGAATATGAATCATAACTCTGCATATTCTATTTGAGGCCTGAAATACCTCGTCTCTTTGGACTTAAAGTCATTAGATTGTTCTAGTTCCATCCATAGCACAGTTTCTTCAATAGTAAGCATGTGCTCTAGAGGGCCTGAAAAGACAAACAATGATAGATTATGTGAGACAATAATTTCATAGGAGTCTAATTGAGATTTCACATGAAATGCAATGCCTTTGTGGTTTCCTTTGGCCATTAGAATTATACTTCGATCTATATGCTCCTGGATTGTGTGTTATCAATTCTTATTAATCCTTCATTTGAATAATACTAACATAAGGGCTTTAAATGAAGAGTTAATGCGAATAAGAGTTAAGGAATAGTTGATTGTTAGTTGAGATAATTTTAGTCTAAATTCAGATGTCTAGCGTCGTCAGTTGCCCATTCCATTAGCATGGTATCTTCTAGTTGGTCGGTCACTTTTTTTTAATGCATGATGATATGAAAGGCATCATAGATCGGATGAATAGTTTAGGCTGCGATCTCTAACTTTTTGCGTAAGTGATAGTAATTTCGGTCTTTGTGTGTGTGTAAATTTATCTATTTCCCCAGGAAATAAGGACGTGCTGCAAGAGGTGTTATCCGGATGGCTACAAAAAACGAATTCGATTACCTTGGTCATGGACGAAACTTTCGCAGTGGCCAGTACGACGGAAATAATGGTGAAGTAGATATAATCCAGATAGAATCGTCTGATGAAAGCGTTGAAAGTGAAGATGCTAGGTAAGAATGGCTGTGATGTCGTGTCGCTATTCACAATTTCTTCTTTTATATCATTTTTCTCTTTGTTACTCTCCAGTGCTCTTCCGGGAGACAGCCCCATAATAAAACATTCTATTCTTGACGTATGAAAAAGAATTTTCGAATTCTCTGTGTCTCAAGCAATGTAAAGCAAATGGAGGTTGACATTCCGAACTCTATTGTTCATTATCAATTGCGATGTTTTGATCCAATTGTACATTGAGAGCATTATGGGTTTCTTAAAGAAGACTTTTGATTAGTTGTTAAAAGTTTTGTTTAGATCTATGAATGATTATTTCGCATTGCAGGGATGGCAAATTCTGGCAACTAATGCGTGCCTATGCACAGCGAAAAGTCAGAGTGCATTCATATTCATTCGTAAGTTTAAATTTAAACAGTCCTAATTGCTCAAAAACGTCGCAGTTTTATTCTTTAATTCCAAACTAATAAGATGTAATGATTGTAGCGTCATCAGCAGTTCTGCGCCATTGGTAACGTTGTACTTCGTAGCAAGGCTAAAACGAATTTGAGGAAGTGTGTGGATGGCAATGATGTATGTTACTATGATGTCGGTAGTGTGATTCAACTTTGTACTGTTATCAAAGCTTCAACTTATGGGATGTATTTGAAAAGGCTCTCCAGACAAAAATTCAGGTGTCTTCTTGCTGTGGCCGAGCCAATTTTGTAAGTTGTTATTTTTTGCATATGAAATTAATAAAAGTCCAACCTTTTTCTCCCATTTCCTTGACTTGACAGTAAATTTCTTCCCTTGAGAACTAATTTAGTTGCGTCTATTTTGTTATAGCTGCACTTTTGCGTAGCATATTCCCATCATATGAGATTATTTTATTGACATATTTATTTCATCTAGGTCTTAATAAAATAATATCAACAGTATGATAGGTTTCTTTTTAGTCAGCAGTTGAGGTCGTATTTGCTGGGTGAAACAGAAACACGACCTTCTGAAATTGATCCAACTGGACCTGTGCCACTGTTGAAAGAGGCTTCGTTGATTAATGATAAACACTTGCAAGAAAAAGCCTCGGTATCTTCCGTCACTGCCGCAAGGTTAGTCCCATGTAGATGTTGTCTTAATGTTAATTTTGTTTTGTTTTCTGCACTAATAATGCTGTAGCAGTACCTTTTTGTTGATCTTCTTTAATTGTTTTTTTTTATTGACCTTTTTTTTTACTCATGTTTTGACCAGACATTGAATTTGAGGAATTCTTCAGGTCAGATATCTATCCTGAGGTTAATGAAACTGAGCCCGAAGTACATCATTTCTATATAATTTGCTCTGACAATTGCTGACAAACAAATAAATTTGAAATACTCCAAATTTTACAGAGTTGTGAATGAACAGATGACAATCGATGGTATTGAGGGTGAATTTTTTGAAAATCCGTGTTATATGGAATTTCTGATGAACTGGCTTATGCATACAAATCTGGAATGTGTCAAGAACACCTGTGGTGAGTTGTTTTTTTTTTCTGCTTATGAAACCAAATAATAGCCGAGCAGGATTTTTTTAATTTTGATCTTTTGTTTTTTTCGCTCGTTAAACTATAATTATTGTGTGGACTTTGTAATCGTTATCGAAACTGGAAAATGCCTGATGCAAAAGTCAGCTTTTCAAGCTTGGTGATGTTGAACATGATTAAGTCAATAAAATTCACCTATACGTCTGCGATGAGTCAGTTGTATATTATAATAAAATAGGATCATTTATTCAAAACGACACCTGCGAAATTCAGTGACCCTTATATTTTTAAGTTATCAAACTAACGGCAGAGCAACGCATTGAGTTGGATACCACAGATGAAAGTTGTCATCATGTTTTTATGACGATTAATCACTTGCCAGCTTCGCACTTTTTCGGTTCTGGCTTTGGTTTTGATCAAAAAAAAGCCTTCTGGGCAGCCAGCCGAAGTATCGTAAGACGACTATATCATGCGGGTTTTATAACACCAGCTTTGTATCATACGATTGGTATGCTTAAAATATTTGCTTATTCCTCCCATTTTTCTAATTGTAATAGTTATTTAGTGCAATGATTAAACAGCACTGGTCATTAGATTGGTGGAATGCAACAATGTGTCCTTTGATATTCAATCAGGGATTTTCAGTTGAATTTGAGTAAAATTAATGACATACTTCTTTGCTTTTTTTCTTGATAATCAAAACGTGTGGAGTTTTAACAGATATAAAAAAACCGTGTGTATATAACTGTTCTCCATATCTATCATTCACTCGTCTCTTTGAGCTTTTTCTATTACACTTCAAAAAACTATATGTGGTATTTTGGTATGCTGCTTTATTAAAGCAGAACTAATGGTATTTGAATTTTTTTTCCAATTTCATTATCTTTGAAAAATTTTCAGGGAAATCTGGTAGATCTGAATTCTCTGGAAAGATAAAACGTTGGCGACGCATAAAAGAATGGAAAACTGTGAAAAATGCTGTTGAATGGTTCAGGAAAACGATGACAGCAAGTAATTCTGCTTTTCGAAATGTCATTTTGATCTCGAAATAAACTGCTGCAGAAACCATTGATCGAGATGGACAAATTTTGGCTTCAAATGAATTTGTGATTTTAATGAAAAAATGTGAAATCTAGGATATCAGTTTGTGTTTTTAGAAATAAAACTTTGACTAGGAATTATAAGCTAATACTTCGAGATATTTCGGAGAGCAGGAAAAGACCTAAATTTGCACTTTTGGATCTAATAATTTTGCTTCAAAGAAATTATATCAGCAGGATATTCGGGTATAATACCACCAAGGCTTTTACCAGGTGCGTACGCTTTAGGAGTGCAGAAATAATTATGCTAATGAAGTTTTCCTTTCTCGAATTGGGATCAAGTTCGGTTTGCATCTTTTTAGACTTTTTTGGGTCTGTTTCATTTTGCAACATCACCAAGCTTATTTTATCGCCTAGGAATGCCGCATTGGGTTCAACTTACGACAAATGGATACAGTACCGATGAATTTGTGAAAATGATAGACGAGGTGCTTGGTGCAAATCAAGTCATTGCACAAAAGCATGAAATGAAGTTACCTGGACTTGTAAAAGGGTCATTATTCTCTGTTTGCCTTTTTTTCTTTTTTCTTTTACAATTTTCTGCCCGGCTGATTCGTAATGGAATATGTATTTCAATACTCCCGAGTCTTCCCGGAAGAGCTTCATGCAAGTTTAAAATTTCGATCCTGTTCTCAATTTCATTCTTACTAATTAGAAGTGCTAGTAGCTTTCTGAAGAACGATTATATAATAAATAACGAGTTTCTTTTACTTTTTGTTAACAGTACCCCTCACCTGTTGTTGAGGTTATTTTGTGGTAGGCCGTTATTCATGATTATTTTCATATCCAGACTTCACTAAAAAAGAATTACTATCAACAGACTGTTTTATGCAGGAAACGAAGAGGAGATGAATCAAAGACGTATTTGATACAAACGAAAAAAATAAGAATTTTCCGTCTAGGAAAGTAAGTTTTTTCATCTTTGCTTTAGCAGAATGACACGATGAATTTTTTCAAAAAGTCATGAAGGCAGGAAGTACGCAAATCTGCTTTGTCCTCATAAAGCATGTTTGTCTTTTCAAAAATTTCGGATGTGATATCCATTCTAATTTTTTTTTCTCATTTGTCATATCACTACAGTATTTCATGGATGAAAAGAGGTATTAGACCTTCAACGTTTTATTTGAATCTTCTATTGGCAGAATTCCAATTTTTAATAGGAGACTGAAAAAACGGAACAAGAAGCGAACTTTTCAAATCCTTTGAATATGCCATCGACAAGTACTGCTTTGATACCCGGTTGCGAAGCGAATCTTTATAAGAATTCGAAAACAACGTCAAAAGAAGGTGTTGATTCTATAAACAATGTAAGTACATAAATGAAATTTGAATATGAATATTTTTTTCAGTTTGATTTTGTGTCATCACTGGGAAGACACTCAAGTATCTTAACAATCTCGATCATTTTCCCTTAAAATTTTCCACAGGTTTTCTTATCGTATTCCACACTAAGCAAGTATTTCAGACGTTTCATCTCTTCACGAAAACTGCTAACACAGCAATAGCTAACACAAAGGACGCCAGTTACAGTGATCGTTCCGGTATGGTTTCGTAGTTTTGCAATATTATTAAGTTTGTATGGTTAAATGGAAAAGGTGCTTCCATAACATAATAGGTAGGAATTTGATTCAAAAAACTTTATGCTCGATTTAGAATTTTAGACTGTTTGAAAAATTTAGGATTTCTTCGAAATCGTTAAGCTTTTTTTACTTGACCTGTGGATTTCTGAAATATGGCTTCTCTGAAATTGAAAAAAAACATTGTACTTGTTATTAGCTGGTTCCATTGTCTCACGAACAATGATTTCATTTTATCAAAGTGTCAAAAATGGATGGGGGGGGGGGGGGAGGCAGGTAAAGATAACACATAACTCAGATTAAGTTAAGTTCAAGTTAGCCAACTTAGAAAATCGCTTCGCATTGTTTACTCTTCTTTTGTTTGCAGCTATGGAGCAAGTGAAAGCTAAATCAACGGTTACATTTGAAAATCGCTTAATCAGTAATAATGCACATGGAAATTTAACTTATTATGATGTTACCGATGACGCAGATATAATTTTGGAAGAAGAGGTACGGGAAGGGTTTTTATTTTGATCAAAACCTTTTAGCATCGGCATTCATTTTACTTGTTTTTCATCCTAGTTTTGGTCATCTTTTCCTTATATATATCATTAGGAAAATTACTGATAACTTCTGCCTTTTGCTTGAAACTTATATTTTACATACTGATGCTCTTTTTGGAAAGCAATATTCATTTACCATTATTCTCGACGTCGCTTCGCAATTTCCGGAACTTTTGACTGACAAATTTCAAGTGCATAGATGAGCTCCTTCTGGATCTCTTAAATTTTATTTACATACATAAAATTTTCCTGAAACTAAGGACGAGTTAATTATACTTGCTTTCTACTGCAGATTCTACCTCCTGTAAACATACACACTGCAAATATGCCTTCGCTACCTTTTAGCAGTTCGGGATCAAAATATGGATCCTTGTGCTCAGTTTTAGGTAATTTTTTGGCAGATTCAGAAATGCAATATTAAATTTATATTTTGTAGTGTATTTTTTTAAAGTTCTTTTAAATTATGGGAATTTGAAGATGATTTTGGTTCAGGTGTTTTACTTTGGGGATTATTCTGAGCAGTTAATTTCTTACGTTACATTTTAGGAGTCAGCTGTGTAGAAGAAACATTAGCCGTACGTAGTATTATTAAAGAAAAGAGGGCAGCGTTTGCAAAGGAATTCAAATCATTCGATGAACATATCTGGAGGCATTTTCAGATCAATGGACAAGTATTTTTGAACTTTGCTTTCAAATTTTCCATTAAATTTTAAGGTTATATTTTTGATCAAGCATCGCTTAACTTGAAACGGAGCTGATAAGAAATTTTCAGGATGATCGGACGTTTTCATGGAAAATGACTGTCCGACAAAAGCTTTTAACACTTATTCGTCAGGTTGTTTTTGTAAACTTTTGATTTGTCTCGGAAATAATCGAAATTTTTGAATTACAAGATTTGGAAACTTTGACTGACAATTAAGATTTAGGTTTATAAAGATTCTAATTTGATAGCCGTCGGTTCAACTGTAAATGGTTGTGGTTCATACAACTCAGATATGGATTTATGTATTTGTCAACCTTACAAAAATCATAGCTTTGAGGCCAACAGAAGGTAAGTTATCAGTTTTAGTGTTTACATATTGTTATTGAAGTTTAATTTTCAACTGGATCAAGTCCAGCATCAATATATCAAAACTCTGAGTTAGTACGTATTTGAAAAGTTATACACTGGAATTTTCAGTTATAGCATACACGTGCTAAGGAAATTGCATAAGAAATTTGTTACGGATTGGCGTCAAATGTTCAAGACTTGTCAGTATATACCAGCTAAAGTAAGTTTTAGAAACTAACGTGCTAAAAGGTATTAATCAAACTGCATTAGTATTTTGAGGAATTTTTCATATGACTCAGTACTGGAATACATTTTGGTGAATTATTTCAGGTCCCAATAATAAAATTAGAGATGGCTGCACCATACGAAGAACTGGAAATAGACATTAACTGTAATAACGTAGCTGGAATATATAATTCACATCTTCTTCACTATTATTCAAGGTAACTTTTTTTTGTCGTAATGCCAAATGTAAGCTAAATTTGTCTAAGTGTTGATGAACTCTCTTGAGAAATAATCAGTAAATTTCATTTTTTTAAATTGGTATAATTTATATGTGACTTGAACTGCAAACATTTAGGGTTGACGATCGTTTCCCAGCACTGTGTTTGCTCGTAAAGCACTGGGCCATCAATGCTGGTATTAATAACGCGATGATGGGAACACTGAATAGGTCTATTCTTAATTTCATGTGCAAATATATGTTGGAAATTTATTACATAATTTCATCGGATAGTATCCACTTAGTGCTTAAAGACTTTTAAAGCTTTTTGCTTCGATTTCTACTTGACCCTTACTCAAGTTCTTTTTCAGAATCATAAATTTGTTTTTAGTTAACTATTAAAAAATGTATTTTTGAAGTTACTCACTCATTTTGATGGTTCTACATTTTTTGCAATGCGGAGCATTACCACCAGTTTTACCGAATCTTCAGTTCCTCTATCCTTCTTTGTTCAATGCAACTTGTAGCCTGGACAGTTTAGAACTGTTTCGAGATCTACCATATCCATTGCCACGTATGTTTTGATGAACTTTATTCCAAATTATTTGTTAATGTAGACTCGTTCAGTTAACAGTGCTTTTATACTCTTTAGCTCTGTTGATTGTATATCTGCAAATAATTTTGTATTTTTTGAAATTATTTTAGCTCGTGAGTTTAATACTGAAACAGTTGGTGAATTACTTATAGCATTTTTTGATTACTACGCTCATTTTGATTTCAAAAATAAGGCAATATCGATTCGTAATGGATGCGTGTATGGCAGGTAATCATTTTCGTTAATGATTTAAATTATTTAAACTTTCAGATTATTTGAACTTTGTTCGTACTTCCATGTTATAGTCGAAATTTTAAAACTCAAAAAAATGCCATTTTTTCAGGGAGCTGTTAGCAGACAATACAATGCGCTTTAAGATATTTATCGAAGAACCGTACGATCAGAAGAATACGGCGCGCTGTGTGACAAGTATTGAAAATCTACAACTGATCAGGGAAGCATTTACATCTGCAAAAAATGCTTTCTTACAAACCTCGGCCGGGCCACCCAATTTGGAACACATTGGTGTTCGCTAATATTCATTTTTGTTACTGCATCTGATGTTTGTTTTTATATGTAAATAAACGTGTACCTAGGTATTGATATGCATGCATCTGGACTTTTTCATTTTTTCCTTTTATTCAGTTGTTAATTTTCAAGAATCTATATTTGTAAGTTTTCCTTGCTGTTTCTTGACTTTGCTTTTTGCATCAGCATCGCACGAGTTTTTTTAAATATATAACTTAGATCATTTTAAAAAAAAAACTCATTCACGAATACATGATTAGAGCGAATTTTGCTTATTTGTTTTGGAATCCTGGACTCTTTAACAAAAAGATTTAGTTGTGACTTTCGGAATTGTGCTGTATACTTTGTTTAATTTTCTATTGTTCGTTGTTTCCGAAGTAAAAATTACTTTAGCCATTCTTTATCTTACATTAAGAAATCAATTCATTCGGCTTTCCTCGGTTTATCCATTTCCCCGGAATAAATTTTCAGAATACATCTGAAGCAATAGGTTATTTCAAAATAAAATTTTAAACAAATATGACAAGCGCATTTGTATTTAAATGTAACAGTTGTAAGCTAACAAAAAATAAGGGAAATTCTCTGTGGTTCAGTTCCATCATCGAGAGTTGTGGGACCTTTCGTAAATTAAGGGAGTATTTGAACCTATACAACACTTGATTATAATTAGCCAAAGTTTAATTCACTTCCATTGTAAGTTTAATTCACTTCCATTGTGGTTTTGTCCGTTCTTATTAAAGCTTGAAAATAACATGCGTGCCGTCACCAAGAGTGAGCAGAAGATTGTCGACGCGATTGTCCTTAGAGGCCAGCTGGTTGGTCTTGTCGATGCATTGAATGGCATAATCTTTATCCTCCTGAACGACTTTACCACGCCGTAAAGCCTAACAAATCCATCAACACTTGTTAAAACAATCTGGATTTAATCCACAATATGGAATTCGTTTTAAGTGTTTTCGGAAAAGGAAATGGACGAGAGGATTCAGTTAAGATTTTATTCTTAACCCTAACTTCTGTAAAATCGCAACTTCGCAGATAAATTTCAATCAGTTGTACATTCAGCTGGTAGAAAAAGATCAACATTTGCTAAAACAATCTACTATTTTGCAAGTAAAATTTATTCCTT